ATAACTTTGCTGTCACCGGTTCAAAATACCTGACACCCTCAACTTAATGAGAAGTTTAATTTGGTTCAGTCGTAGAAGTTTCAATCTGTGGTGGGCAGGCTCAAGTACAGAAACCGTGTGGCAGTATTACAGGGCTCCAGGAGACTGGAGAGACGCACAGACTGAAACAAGAGGACTTTATTTCAGGCTGAAGGTGTACACCGGCTCAACAGACTCCTGTCCAAGGGAAGAGTGTTGAACAAAGAGAAGTTTCAGCTCTTATATATTTTGTTGAAGATGGTGGCTTTTCTGGTGATGTAGCAAGTGAGTTTACCAGGAGAGGACAATGCAGATAGTTGTGTAACTTTGCCTTGAAAGAAGACAGTGTCTTATGAACCATATGAGAACAGAGTGTCATAAACTTTGTTTAGGGCACATAGTTGTCAATTTTATCTGTATCGGAACAAGGAGTTACAGGGGAGAGCGGGGTGCTGGGGGCCTTCCCAAGGCTGGGACAGACTCGTTTTTCTTTAAGTCCTGCTCATCAGAAGGGCCAGGTGCAGAAGAACGCTGTCCACATTTTGGTGGCTGGGAAGCAGAGAGAGAAGGAGGAGCCGGAGAGGGAGATACACCCTTCCCAGCTGTTCCCCTGATGACCACCTCCTAATACCAAGGCAGCTATGAACTCGTCAGGGGACTAATCCAGTGCCCCCCACGATCCAATCACCTTCCAAACATATGAAGCTTTTGGGAAATAGTCCAGATTCACACCCTAACAGCACCTGTGTTAGAATATAATGAAACCACTAACAATAGTATGCAAGAATATTATCTGTTATAGGGAAGTGCTTGTGTTATGTCGTAATTTGAAAAGCGGATCACAAAGCAATGTACTCAAGAACTATTTCTGTTCATGGCTGCTCAGGGGGCACACTAATTGTGGTTGTGTACTTCAGGGCCAGGGCATTGCCCTCTTATCACAAGAACCCCGGGTGCAGGAGACTTCCGGGGTTTCTAAGAAGGGAGCACGTGATCCTGGAGCTGCTACAGCCTTTTGTCACCATGAGGAGAGAAGGCAAGTAGAGGAAAGCAGAAATCAGAGGTGGGGAAAGCAAAAGTGAGAGGACCGCAGACTGGACAGTGAAGCCTGAGCCTGTGGACCCAACCTGGCTGGGAGCCGGTCTGTTTCTGGACTTTGCAGACAATGCCTTCCTTCCTTGTTAGGTTAACTGGGATTTTTATTGCTTGTGACTGAAGAGTCTGTGTGCTCTTTCCCCTGCAGTGAGCCTGTCACCAGCAATGGGAAAAGGCCTAGATGTACTGCGCCGGGCTTTTATGTTGGTCCCCAGAACCCATTCTCTGTAGCACAGCTAGGGTGACACATTAGGGTGACAGCATGCTAGGCAGATGTGAACTGAGGATCCCAGGGGTCAGAGGAGGTTCTGGCCTGAGCGCGGAGCTCCAACGTCCCCTCTGCCTGAGTGCGAGGTGGCCCTCGTGTATCAGGGTGACTCTGGAACAGATGCTGCTCTGGGAAGCCCCCTTCAGGCCCCCGACTGAGGGCCCTTTTTCCATCCTGGCTTCTGGGTGCTCTGTGAGTGTTTTCTGACCCATCGCCTCTAGGAGGCAGAGACTGGGTCTGTCCTGGTCACTGCTGTACCCAGCTGTCACCAGGCCTGGGAGGGACAGCAGTGAGAGGTTGCATCCTCCAGGTGCTGCCCGGTGGGGATGGCTCAGTGCAGGCCTCTTACTCTTATAGTGGCACAGCTGGATGGCTCCACCAGACAACCTCCGCAGGTACCAGCTGTGACCAGTCAGAACACTCCTTCTACCCGCCCCTGTTGCCTGGTAAGTATCAGGGTGAAGTCAGGACTGAGCCCCTTACCTCCCGAACGGATGTCAAGCCCAAGACTGAGGAACTGGGAAGCCAACAGGCCTGACAGGACTGTGGGACTGGGAGACCAGACCTATGGGGATGAGCAGAGGCAGCTTGGAGTGCTTGGGTGAGACGCAGCTGGTCTGTGATCATGCTGGATGCAGGAGCACTTTTTTTCAGAAAAGTGTTTGTCAGAAACTTTTTTCTCTTGCAGTATTTTTCAGTCCTTCCTGGGAAACCTTGCCCGAGATACCACTTGCTTCGCTCTGTCTGTTTCTGTCTCTTTCTCTTTAAACCAAGGACCATCTGGACTGGAGGTGTAGCTCGGTAGTAGAGCACCTGCCTAGCATGTGCAAGGCTCTGGGTTCCATCCCTAGCACCAGAAATAAAAAGAAAAAAAAAGTCCCCAAAACCCAAAACGAAGAACCTCAAGCCGAGGCCTGCGGGGTGATAATCGCAGCATGGTTCGTTGTGTTTATTTTTGTAGATTCTTTGGAGTTATAGCATGATTTTGATTTTCTGCTTAGGATAGTAATATGAAGCTTCTTTGTCAAATAAATTTGCATAAGTAGAGGGAGGCTGCTACAAGGGAATTAGCAAGTAGATGACAAAACAGGTGGTGACTCTGTTGGGCCCCAAAGGGAAGGGGTGGCAGGTATGTGACGCAGCAGGAAGGTGCCAAAAAAGCAGCATTTGGAGGAGCAGCTCCGCAAGGTCAGCTCCTCAGCCTGCTGGAGGGCCACTGGGGACACACTGGGAGCCTCCCAATCCCTCCCAGCACAGGCAAGCAGCGTGACTCAAGCAGACTCACAGCTTGGGGAACAAGGGTTGGGGACCGGAGACCACCCTAAGCTGAGCTGGTGGCCTAGAGCCAGGAAACCAGGCAACTGGTGGTCCTGCCAAGGCCTGTATACTGACTCTGTACACCCCAGGTCCAGCTGGATGACCCTAAGAGCTCCCTGGGATTTGAACCCAGGTATACCCTGCCCACCTTGCCTGCCAGAGCACTTCACCCTGACATACACACTCTTGGTCTAGTCTTGGTGCTGCCTCTGTCTCACTGTGTGGCCTAGAGTGCTCTAGGCCTCACTTTCCCTTATCTGTAAACACAGATGAGTGAAACGGCCTTGGGGTACCTCATGAGGACCGGGAGCATATATGTTCTCTCACCTCTCCTCCTTCATTGTGGCCCTCAGTGAGGGGTCAATGAGCCTGAGCCCAATTCCCTGTTCTAGCAGCTGGTAGCTGTGTGAGGATGGGCAAGTCACTCAGCCCCTCAGGGTGACTGTGTCCAGTGGTCCCAGCAGGGCTGGGCAGCCATGATGTCAGTGAAACCTGTCATGTAGTCAGATGCCATCCACGAGGGAGCAGGGGACTCTGGCCCCTCAGGCCCTGGGCTGAGTGCTCAGAGCAATCTCATGGCCAGTGTTGTGAGGCTGGCATGGTGTTGCCACCTGGAGCTCCTGGGACCTTGGGCTGGAGTACCTGTAAGCAAGGGGCCCAGTTTACCAGGTTGGACTCTGGAATGGGTTTCTTCAAGGTGTCTTCAAATCAGTTCACCTTGGGCTTTCTCAGACTTGCAGGTAGGAATTGCCTCCCTGGGGGTTAGGGAGCAGGATGGGGTGGATCTTGTTAAAATGCAGATTCTGATTCAGCAGATCTAGGGTGGGCCTGAGAGTCTGCATTTCTTTCAATCTCCAGGGAGGCTGGTGTTGCTGGTACCCAGGCCCTGTCCTGAACATTGGGGTGGAGCTCCTTACCTCTCCTGTGGGCCCATCTTGAGAAAGCAAGAGAGAGCTCTGGTCCTAACTGCCCCCACCCTGAAAGCCCCGGAGCCAAGAATTGCATTATACAGGTGCAGTGAGAGGGCTGCAAGCTATCACAGAGGTGGGTACCCCAAGGGCACCCTGGGCAGGCCACAAGAAAAGATCCCTAGAAGAGGGGACCTCAGGAACCCAAGAATGAGCGGGTCTAACTCCTGAAATGAATGGCTGGTACCCAGAGGAGATGACCACTGTGGCATCCCAGGCTGTCAGACAACTGTCCTGGATGAAGAGGCCAGCAGAAATTCCAGCAGAAAGGCCAGCAGAAAGTCTGGCCCTCAGACTGTGGCTGTTGGAAGAAATGGGGAGGGCAGCATTGTGCGCCATTAGGAAGAGAGGAGCCGCCATCCCAAGGCTGCCTCTGGTGGCAGTTCCTTCTCAGGAAGCCAGAATAAGTCTAGTACCTTCACACAGTGTGGGAAGTCAGCCCTTCTTCAGGGGCACCGGCGGGGAACTCCCTTTTGTGACCGTGTAGATCCTTTTTACCCCATTTATGCATATTCTTTCTGTGTGGACACCATATACACACACACATACGCATCACACATATGTGATTTTGAGATGCAGATAT